GCAGCGACGTGCATGTGCAGCAAGCTTGTCGGTTAACCGAGACTAGAATTTCATAACCTGGGTGTGAAGATCGATAAGTTACACATTTGAAATCCTGAATCGATCAATGTTAGACCACCATTAGAAACCTGGAATCACTGGATGGCCGTTTCGTCCTGATATGGGACTCATCAGCAGTGCGCATACACGACTCCTGCACCCCACAGGATTCGAACCCAGGATCTTCGGTCTTGCGCCCGAAAGCCTAAACTCTGGAACACTGAGCCGGAATTTAGCGGTGTTAATATCTAGCTTCAATCAACTCACGGAGATGCGTAACCTCATACACTGTCTTCGTTAGTTGCTGCCAACACCCGAACAGGTTGAACTTCACTGGTCACGACTTCCCACTAGAACTCGGAAAAGATTCCTCAAGGAGCTAGTCACTAGTGAGCACAGATAATAATCGTTAAGTTACACATTTGAAATCCTCAGTTAGTTATTCACCGAATTTCGACTTAGTGGTGGTCTAGAGTTTAAGTGTTTGTTGATTGCTGATTGAGTCAGTCAGTCACTCAGTTGCAACGTGGAACTTCGTACGTATGTACATAAGTTCATGTTACCATACCACATGAGCACAGAGACGTAAATGTCAAATCAAATCCTATAGTGATAAAGATAGTAGAGGTATTAATGGTAATGAAGAAGACTAGGGTTCGAAGATATTATTCAAGAAGTATAATTCGGTGAGATAAGGTTAGAGAGACAAAGGTAGAGGTGCTGACGAATCCAGAAGATTAGGATTTGAGAGAACACAAAGAATGGATGCACTTGCGCCATTGCAAACGATTTTTAGCTATGTCATTTAAGGTCTCTAACCATTGGTGACTATCGTCTCGCGGACCCCAACCAGGTAGTCGACAATTACCGACATGGCTAAGTCCACTTGTCAGTGACTTCATGCATTTCTGCCATGTTTTGATCTGGCCGCCCCTAACTTTCTTCCAACCTACTTCTACACTACAAAACAAAGCTCGTCGAGGCAGTCGGTGGTTAGGCATACGTAACACATGTCTCAACCACCTTAACTGATGAAGTTTCACCACTTCATCTATTGATATGCCATCGTTACCTAGTACTCGTTGCTGATTGACCTGAGTGCCAAGTATGTAAGTACGAAGTTCTACATTGCAACTGACTGACTAACTGACTGACTGATAGGATTGATTGTACATCTATCTAACTGTGAAAAATAGATCAATGAAGTTTATAAATAAATAACATACTGTGTTTAAAATTATCAAATAATAAGAACAAGAACTTACTTGTACAAACAAGTAAATTTTTTTTATTTTATAATCAGTTAATTAGAAAAATAAAAAACGATAATTAATAATTAGTAGTAGTAGCAGTAGTAGTTTCTTTCATGAACTTTCAATTTTCATTCTCAAAGTTATTCAACTTTTAATAACAAGTGTATTCATGTGTGTGTTTGTGCGTGTGCAAGTGTATGTATGCCTTAACTCATCAACTGTTAATAACAGAATGATCTAACTGCTGTTTATTCATAAAACAACCATTTCTGCTCACCGGTATACTTTTTAAGTCAATAATTTTCATGTAAGGCGGTCAATTGAACATTTTCAAGTCAAGTCAAGTACTCATGCCAAGTACAAGTTAATCAGCTTGTTATTTGTTTATGACATTCATGTTAGGAGGCATGAATATAGTTATGACCTTGGTGTACTGATGAATAAATACACTTCCGGAATAATAATAATAATGATAATAAATTACAATGTATTTTGTGTAAATGTTATTACAGATCAATGTTGTCAAATTGGTTGGTTTGTTAAATAAATGAGATTATCATAGAGTTAGTTATACAACGCATGAAATTGATCGCGGTGATAAGATTAGTTTTGAACAATTGAGGGGATGAATATTTAAAAAAGCATTCAGAGAATCCGTTGAAATATTGAAATTGTTTGTGCTGAGAATGACAGAAGTATCCATAGGTTCGTAAGAAGCGAAAAAGATCCTATCCAATCATAGCTCAATAGAATTCCTTAGATATTGATACGGTTTAAGGTTGAAAAAAGCTTGGGGGTGGCCAGACCAAAACATGACACAAATCCATGAAATCATTGACAATGTAAGTAAGTGTACACTATGTGGTTGTGGTCCGCTAGGCAATAGTAACCAATGGTTAGAAACTTTGAATGACATAGCGGTTGTCACTTCCCGGCTGCCCACACTGTGGAAGGGTGTTTCTTGAGGGACCTGAAAAGGAAGATAGATTAGTGTTGGTCTTGGAGACCTGGGTGCGTGACCGCAGAGCCCAGGGGACAACTGCTTGAGGCCGGTCGCGCACGGCCTTTTTATGAGAAGTTTTTTGAGTATTAGTCTTGCTCTTAAAAGCCCTTACCGCCGGAGACGGAAATCCGTGAGGTAGGGTGAGGTGTGACATTTTTAGTGTCGACCTTTTCTAACCCATCCTTCCTTGCGAGAAGGCAGTATCGCTGCAGATACTGGTTATCCGAGGGAAACACCTTACCGCTGTCACACCCGTCTACAGTCAGCAGTACGACTTCGCCCTCAGACCTTGAGTAGTTGCTTTTAGTCTCATCGTTCTCCAATCGACCTGTCTGGCATCGCAGAACCTTGAGGAACATATGTTCTGGTCAATATACCTCGGTAGGGTCACCAGGATAGATAATCCCGACCACCACGTCAAGGTAGCAGCTACGGTCGGGAGCAATGTAAGTATGTGTAGACTATTTGGTTATGGTCCGCTAAGCAATAGTAACCGATGGTTAGAAACTTTCAATGACATAGCTCCTTCAAACCGTCTAAAGGTGAGCAGTATGATTTTGAGAGAAACTAAACAATTCCATTGACTGATCACCAATCTTGTGTTTACTTTACCCTTAGTGGTGATTGAATTTCCACAGTCCAAATGACAAGGGAAGCAACAGTTCCATTAGGATTGATTGTATGCTATCAAGATAAGCAGCCCTATCAACATATTCGCTTAACAATCAAGTTTATCCATGTAAAATTACATGTTTAGATACTTAGAATTGAGTCAAATTCAATGCCTTCAATTTACTTACACAGATAAAAGTCACACTCAATTCAAATCTTGTTCAATCACACAAAAAATACAACTAATAACTAGAGAGTGTTAACAATTAATCTTGTAATTAGGACACTCGAATCAATAAATGTCATTTAAAGAAAATACACTTGACATGTTTGCTTTATACTTCCCTATTACAAATCAATGATGAAAGAGCACAAAGAGAGTGTGTGTAGATTTAAATCAATATAACTAACTATATTACATAAGGTGTGTCAAGTAATTTAGGACATTAGTGATACATGAACATTTTGACAGTAGGAGATCGTTTGGTCCATGAACTGCACTCATTGAATGACCTTGATGTGATAGTTTGTTTGACTGACATGTGTCCAAGTTAAACCATAGACTATAAGGATATTATTTTTTTTTCTAACTTATGTAATGTACAATTCACTTACACTGAGTCAATTTTTGTGAACTTCCTTTTGGATGAATATATTGACAATGACAAAGTTGCCAATATTGACAAAATCTTGGTTCAGTTGAAACTTGTGATCTGATAGCCATTATAAGACATTGCTTCATCCTGTAACTTTGAAGAAATTGGGGTATCCTATCAGATCAGAACCGGTACGGCTGGTATTACTTACAACATGGACAGTAAGTTACTGGTTTTCGATCATAGGTGTGTTCGAAGCATTGCTCGAATATCCTAGGACCACTGAGTAAGCAAAACTGTTTTAAGGAAACGAGTACTAGGTAAGGATGGCAGATCAATAGATGAAGTGGTGAAACTATATCAGTTGAGGTGGTTGGGATATGTGTTACGTATGCCTAACCACCGACTGCCTCGACGAGCTATGTTTTGTGGTGTAAGAGTAGGTTGGAAGAAAGGTAGGGGCGGTCAAACCAAAACATGGCCGAAATCCATGAAGTCGGTGGCAAATGGACTACTTGGTTGGGTCCATGAAATGATAGTAATCGATGCTAAGAGAACTTAAATAACATGGTTCAAAATCGTTCGCAGGTGCATCCATTCATTGTGTTCTCTTGAATCCTAATCTTCTAAGTTCCTCATCACCTTCATCTTTCACCAGATCCTACTTTTTGAATCATATCTTCGATCAGTAATCTCCCCTATTACTGACTGCTCATACTTCTACTACCTACCACCTACCTATATTACTATGGAGATTTGAATTGACAATCATATCTCTGTGCCAATGTGGTACAAGCAACATAAACTGATGATGTACGTCCTCGTACGAAGTTCTACAATGTAACTGATTGATCGACCTACTTATCATCATCATCAAAAGGTAGAAAAAAACATTATCAAATAAACTATTCGCAAACGAATGAAATAGTAAAAATACTTAAACAAAACATTCAAATATTCATGTTCAAAGACATCATTTCTATTGAATTAAACTAAGGAAGAAGAAGAAGAAGAACAGAAGAACAGAACACCGAATACAACAATCCAAGAAAAACAAATTACATCGTCATTTGATTTCATAGAAAAAACGAACAAACATACACAATTGATCACAGTTCAATTGGGAAGAAACGGATAAGAAATTACAAAAAATATGCGCAAAAGTACTACTACTTTACATGAACCTATTAGAATATGTAATATATATATATATATTGATATTATTTCACAGTTATTAAGAAAGACAATTCACTTAACTCATCATCATCATGAGAACAAGAAAGACATTGTTTGTTTTTTTCAACAACGACGACGACAATGATGATGATGATGATCTATCTCATCAATCTCATGATCATCGTACAAGGGATAGTCCTGACAGAGATAGATAGATGGGATAGGATAGGATAGGATAGGATAGACAGAGATAAATGTTGTATACAAATTGACTGATGTCACAACACAATTATGTAATGTAGTGCAATGTGTTTACATAACATATATATATATATATATACGAAAGATGTAATAACATAATTTAATTTCAAATTCAATCTATCACATGATAGTGTTTTACTAGACAAAAGTGAGTGATGAACAGGAAAAATATACAGAAGAGTAGGAGGAATAAACGTGCATCCAAAGACACCGTAAAATTCAAAAAGAAATTAAAAACACACTGAAAAAATGTTCATATTATTAAACGAGAGAGAGGGAGAGATGGGAAGGCAGAATAGAGAATAGAGACAGAACCAGTCCAACACGAGAGAAAGAAAGACAAATAGTACATAACATAAGGATAAGTTAAAAAAAACTTCAGTTGATGTAGAGAAAGTTAAACTTTATTATTATTATTATTATTATTATTTTTAACTACTTTTTTTCAATGGTTGTAATATCATGAAGACGATGATGATGTAGTTGGCGGTGGTACTGTGTACAAACTGACAGCTGGAGCTGGATTCGGTTGTTTAGTGACAAAACTCTCTGAATTCATATTACTGTTATTTGTATTATGTATTGGGACATCGAAATGTGGTTCTTCATAAGCCTGTGGAAAAAAATCAATATTATTATTATTATTATTATCGTTAGTAGTGGTAGACGTAGGCAAAAAGTAATTACCACTCTACTGTTATAACGGTCAATTGACCTTCTACCGGGTGGCTCACTTATTGACTTAGAATATGCCGATGATATAGTCCTACTTGGTGAAGACGCTGACAAAATGAAGTCTTCTGAGGTTTTTCCCCTCGAAATGCAAAATGTTGCCTCAACATTGGGTTTCATCGGCACCTGAACTAGTGATAGGGAGTGAAGTGGTCGAACGTGTAGACCGCTTCACTTATCTTTGGAGTCTCATCAGTGCCGATGGCCTGGTGACTGACAAAATCTCAGCTCGGAAACAAAAGGCTCGATTGGCCTTTGCCAACCTGCATCACTCATGGCGTAGGCGAGATATCCGTTTGCTGACTGAAGGACGAGTGTAATGTGGAGTAGTTCGCTCCGTTTTACTTTATAGCTGTGAAACATGGCCAGCGAGAGTAGAAGATTTTCGTAGGTTAATGGTTTTCGATCATAGGTGGCTTCGAAGCATTGCTCGTTTATCCTGGGGCACCCGAGTAAGCAACTCTTTTATTAGGAAACGGGTGCTAGGTAAGAATGGCAGATCAATAGATGAAGTAATGAAACTTCATCAGTTGAGGTGGTTGGGACATGTGTTACGAATGCCTAACCAACGACTGCCTCGACGAACTTTGTTTTGTAGTGTAAGAATAGGTTGGAAGAAAGTTAGGGGCGGTCAAACAAAAACATGGCAGAAATCCATGAAGTCATTGACGAGTGGACTTAGCCATGTCGGTAATTGTCGACTACCTGGTTGGGGTCCGCGAGATGATAATAATCGATGGTTAGAGACCTTGAATGACATGGCTTAAAATCGTTCGCAATGGTGCAGGTGCATTTATTCTTTGTGCTCTCTCAAATCCTAATCGTGTGGATTTTTCAACCCCTCTAGTTTTGACTTTCTAAACTTTTCACACTGAATCATATTTCTTGAATAATATCTTCTCATCCTAACCTCTCCGATTACTTCTAACAGCTTTACTACCTCTTCTACTATTGGATTTGAATTGACAATTACATCTCTGTGCTGATGTGGCATGGCGACATGAACTGATGTACTTACGTACAAAGTTCCACGTTGCATCTGACTGACTGACTGAATGAATGACCAAAATAAAACTATACAAAAAGTAAAATGTAAACCATATTGATATGAATACATAATAATAATAATAATAATAATTAAAACGTACCTCATTCATATCATCGGGAACAGGAGGAGTTTTTGGATAAAGTTTACCACAACAGTAACAACAACACAGAAAACAACAACAGCATGTCAGTAAGAAACAGGTACAAGCAAGGCACTGTAAAAATGAAAAAACAACAACCAAAAACAATTTGTAATCGATATGATACAAAAAACCCCATTACAATCCATCAAAAAAAAACTTTAATTTTTTTTTAAAAATGTGGGACACAGAACAAATTTATATTCATTGAAGTAGTAGTGACATATCACGATCGATCCTCAAAGTTAAACCATTTTTACATATACAGATAAAACAATATACTTGTACAATGAATGGGACAGATGCATCCACTGTTTATGTTCTCTTAAATTCTGATCTTGTGAATTGCTCATAATCTCTATCTTTCTCCTTCTAAATTTATCTTACTGAATTATACTTCTCGAATCATATGTTCGAATGATAATCTTCTCCATTACTGCTAATACTTCTATTATTGCTATCACTGTTGGATTTGAAAAGACAGTTACGTCTGTGTGCTAATGCGGTATGGTAACCTGAATTGATGTACGTATGTACGTATGTATGAAGTTCTACGTTGTAACTGATTGACATTGGTCAATGATTATATAGACTGATAGTGGGTTTAGCCATTTTCCTAAAACATCCAAATTAAATTTTATTGTAATAAACATTATGTTTAATTAAGTAGAGTGTAACTTAGCATGTGTAGTATGTTTCAACAACTATAAGTAACTTGTCGGTCCGTAATTTACAAAAATATAAAAAAATAACGAAACTCACAAGGTAGAGTGAGGTAACAAGAAAAGGGATGTGACCAATCAAAGACAAGTCAACGATGAACAGTAATCGCTCATCACAATTACACTATGCGGATCATAACCACATCTATCAGTTTGACATCAGATAATAATAAACACATTTATCTGGTATTGCATTTAGCTTGATTATGTGTTGTACTGTCGCAGTATTACACATTAACTATACCTGGTCTCTCTCTCTGTAATGACTTCAAGTCGGACTGTTAACTATTATTTGGTTATTGCCGCTCCCTATTAATTCGCTAGATTTTAGGTTTGTTTTGTCAATCTCAAAGTATCCAAATGTGTTTATTTGTTACTTTCAAAATGTTCACAGACAAAGTATTGTGTCGTTTCGTTGAAAATAATCATTCTGATTAACAAGTGTGGATTAAATGTTTGAGAAGTCATAAAATGCAGTTTTAGCACTTTCTACGAAATGACAAATCGATTGTAGTTGTGATGAAAATGCAACAATAAAATAAGTTATTCAATTATCGATTTTCATAATTTTAATAAATCTGTATGTTTCTACATGAACTAGTAATCCTCAAACAAATACGCGTTCGTACTAGAGCATGATTTGAATCTAAATGTGTGCCCCGGAACGACCAACGGTTCTCTACCGAACCCCTCCATCGGTGGCTGATGGCGATGTGATCTAGTTGGGTCCAACGTTGAGACGACTTTGAGGGACGCCAGGTGCTTAAAGTTAGTGTTTGCTAGAAATAGGCGGTTATTTGAACACACTTGCAACAGATGGTCGACACTGTCTGTTCTCTGAGCCGCGACACCACCTAGGTGTCTTTCATTTTCACTTAGTCTACCTACTTGAGCATTAAAGTCACCAGCCATTAATACTATATCAGAGTGCTTAACTTTTTGGAGGAGGTCCGAAAGCTTTTTGTAAAACTCATCTTTCACCTCGTCTGAGCTGCAATCAGTGGGAGCGTAGGCGGAGACAACAAAGAGGCAAATACGAATTCCCCTATCTTTCCGAATCCTTACTGTCCCGTTTAGTCGGACGGCGTACAAGCGACTGTCTACTGTGACCCAATTTAGAAGAGCTAGTTCTGCCCTACGACTCAATGCTAGCCAGCGAGGCCCCGGGAAGCAGAGTCAGAGCTTCCAGATAAACGAAGAGTAAATCCACCTGCTTATTTACTTTGACAAGGTGAAATTAAATTAATGATTTTACTAGGATCCTATATGCGCGTTTCCGAGACGCAGCACACATCGATGGAACGAGATTCTAAAGTCCTAGCTAAGGAAGCCTGTTGTCCTATTTGACACAATGTCCGTACATTAAATGCTCCAACATGTAATTTAGAACGAGGTTTCAGGAGACCAGGAATAACGTTTTGTGAACTTGCATACTTTGCATTAGCGGTGCAGTGTGATAAAGGAATGTGAGAGTTAGTCGTGGAGATAAGAGAGATATTAGGAGGTATAGGAGGAATTTGGTTGTGACCGATTCGGTCTCGTGTGCTGTTATGGGTATGAGGGCGGTTGTCACTTCCCGGCTGCCCACACCGTGGAAGAGATTGATTGTTAGTGACTTTCCTATAGATCAATGAGCATTCAGTAATCCACACTGCTTTAACCCTACTCTACTTCAACAATCACCATCCGATTTAATCAACGGAAGATGATAGCCTAGCCTCGAGCTCTGCATCATCTATTCGATTTAGAAGAAAAATCCACGGTTATTTACCAATCAATCCATACTAACGCTTAACGATAATATATATATATATATATATATATATATATATATATATATATATGTCATTTAATCTTTTGTGAGACAAACAACTTTTCCAAACGAAAAAAATTCGAGTTGAACGAATAAGCATCTGACTGGAGTACAAGAATGAGAAACTCCAAATTCATGTCATGAGTTTTAAATCAACGTGGTTTTATAAACTGAAATATATAACTGACGCAGTGTTACATCGCCCGTAAACAATAATGCCTACAGAACTACTAGCATACGTTATGAACGGATATCATACACCAAAAATATGTCTGACAAGTTTGTAAGTGTTGATAGTGACTTAGATTTATTGCTTCTATATATAATCTATTCAATGGTTGCGCTTACTGACATTAAGCATTTAAAATCTCCAACCTTGGTTGGATGTACAAACTTGATTGACATTAAATACTGGAACAGTCTGGTATAATCTATTTCTGATGATAGGGTTCCAATGCACAGTGTGTTTTTATATTTAAACATACAAACATTGATATAAAGGGGTACTTAGATATTTATGCACCACACGTATTACTGAATGCGAGGGCTAATATGTTCAAACGTCCATACCGAAGCAGGTGAATTTCTTGGACGGCTACAACCTCACATGCATTGAAACTACCATCCTACTGGATGTAGGGTGACGTACTTGAACAACAGATCATTTATGCCTAGTGCATATTACATTACAATCACATTTAATGATCAAACAACGATCGGTTAGTTGATTCTACAGAGCTAACAAAACTTAAAGTAACCTAGACAACTCTTCACCACGGCTAGGACCGATACTTCAGTCGGTCAGTTACAACGTGGAACTTTGATAGGTATATCACTCCAAGTTGCCATACCACATTGGCACAGAGAATCAAATATCAGTTTGAATTCCCACAGTAATAGAGGTAGTAGAAGTATGAGCAGTAATTGGGGGAATTAGGGTTCGAAAATATAATTCAAGAAGTATAATCTTGAGAAATAAACTCAAGAGAAAGATGAGGAATCCAGAGGATTAGGATTTGAGAGAACACAAAGAATGGACGCACCTACGCTATTGCAAATGGTTTTCAGCCATTCAAGACCTCTAAACATCGATTACTATCGTCTCGAGGACCCCAAACAGGTAGTCTACACCTACTAACATGACTCAATCGACTTGTCAGTGGCTTCATTGATATGTACCATGTTTTGGTCTGGGCTTTCTTCGAACCCTCTTCTACACCACAAAACTTTTCGAGGCAGTAAGTGGTTGGGCATTCGAAACTACCAATACTTAGTTTGTGAATCAGACAAAAACGAAAAAACGTAAAAGTGCATAGGAAAGGGTTGTTGATTACACACAACAATACAATCAAACGTCGAAAAATAAATACGACAATGCTTCTGCTAGCTAAAAAGTCATGGAAAATGAACTAAGCGGCTGTCTCTCAAACAGTCGTCTGAATATTTCAAACTGACAATACTTACCTGAACACAAGGGTTGTGTAAAGCCAGATACGGCTTCCAGTCTTCTTCATCAATATGCTCTGCGACATAAATTCCAAGAGCTCCATATCGGTCATACAATTTCCTTTTCTGTTCGTTAGCTAGTATAGAATGTGCTCTATTGATTTCTTTGAACTAAAACTTAGAATTTTTAAATTTGAACTTTACTTTGTCGGAAGCTCCAGAATCTTTGGGGTTTTTGTCTGGGTGATATTTTAGTGCGAGCTGAGAAAATATTAAAATAAGATAGGCGTACTCTACGATAGGACTTTCTGATTTCCTCAGCCGTTGCGTCTCTATTTACTTCTAGAATGGCGTATAAGTTGATATTGTCTTTTCTGCTAAATAAAATTTAATGTATGTCCGAACATACGAAGATTTTTGTCTGCTTTTATCTTTAGAACCACTGCCCTTGGAAGGATCAGGAGGCATTGCCCAGTTGGTGCTATTCACATGTCAAGGCCATACTTTCAGATTCCGCTGGTCAAACTACGATAAATCTTACAATGTCCAGTATGCCTCAGATTGAAGAGAACAGGAAAACTACAGTAATTTAATGTAGTTTTAAAGACTGGACTTTCTCAATTTGTTCGAATCCTCTTGGATATATCAATCGAATCAATGAGACGTGTTGTGACGTAATTTACATCTATTGAACACGGACTTTGACAAACATGGTATTTAGATATTTTGGACATTTTATGATTTTCTCTTAGAATATTTGGTTTTGGAGACGTTCAAAACGCAATAACATCGGACGTGAGACAATTTATCTGAACATTTCAGTATCGAATATAGGTAATTTATGGTCCATATGTAGGTTAAGGGAAATGGATTCAGACTAATCTCAATATAGTCACTCAGCAGATTTTAGATTTTGATTGAAAACTGGATTAAAGCGTCCAGAGGTATTTTCTTACTATCAAGGAAAACATATGATTCCTGTATGCACGACACGGTTAACGGAGAGGAAAAGGAGAGTAAAGTAGTAGATAAATAAGCAAAACAATTATACAGCAGCGCTTAAAAGATGTAAGTAAGTAACTCGTTGCATTCGCTGACAAGTACTGAATTTTACGGTCCTCTATATTTCAAAATCGATGATTGTACAACTCGATTAAATCCAACTTCAAAAATATAAATTGACAGCACAATGCATTTTATTATTGCTTGCTGTACTGTTTAGTAGGTACTATCTCTCATAGTCTATCCCCCTTTAGTACCGGGAATTTCGCAATACAAAATACTAGACATTACACTGATTCTGATATAAGTTAACGAATTACTACCAATCTAATAACATTTTGTGCGCTGAGAAAGCAAGTGTTTCAAATCAATCGGTGCACGTAAGTGCAACCAACAAGTGGTGAGACGGTATTTTAACTTCTATTGCCCAGCTCATGTAAAACAGACGCTTTCAGCTGATTAATATCAAAATGGGGGGAATTCTTTAGAGTGAGCATATTTGCGAGGAGTCTTGAATGAAAGGATAGACATGATAGACAAATATTGGGCGAGCGAAAATCCAATCAAGATAAAAATGTTGATGTCATATTAGGCATCCATATACGTTCAGAAATATCTCACAATGTTTGAGAATTTTCATGAAAGCTTTCTTTGCATTTTTGTCTCATCATCACCTATGTCTTCTAATCATACATTGTGTATTTTATTTAGATCTGACCGCTGATTGGAGAGGACCTTTGGTAAGTTGCTGAGAAATGTGTGTAGCTTGTCATCAATCTCCGTGACGCTTTCTAATTGTGTTCAGACGCCTAATCTTCAAGAGTATTGGCAGAGACTTTGTGGAGCAGTATGCTTGCTCTCGGATCGCAATATCTCATGTAAAACAGTTTTGAATCAGGTATACAAATAATAAAACCATTTTTCCCATAATTCGCATCCTATCCTATATACAATGAAAAATGAACGTGCCAGTTTACGATGATGAAAATTCGTTTGAGGGATTGCATAATACTGTGGACAAAGGTAAGAAACAGCATTGCAAATATCGCGAAAATGATGAAAAGCTAATTGGACACTCTAAAAGTATTCCCAGGACCACTAAAATAATAAAAATACAGCCAAACAAGTTGGTGTCGTAATCATAAAAGAGGTGCATGAAACTATTTCACAAGTGAAACAGTGGACAAGCCAACAATGATATATATTAAAAGGCACCTTGAGAACAGGAAAACAGGATGGTCAAGCATTTTGAAGGCGTTTTCTCAACTGGAAAAAGAATACTGTCTTAAATTTATGCGGAAGTGAAAACTCATAATTTTGTGTTACTGTGCCTGGAGCATTTCGAAAATGTTTTACGACTACGTACAACCTAGTCATCTGAATATGATGGGATGACACTGTATACTTTTAAACATGGCTCGGATAATCAGGGATTGATAATTCTCTTGCCCGCAACCTGTTGGTGATCTAGAAATACCAGCCCAGTTGAACCGCAAGTTGGGGATCGAGGAGATCGAAGGTGTTGGCTGCGATAGATTCTACGTCAGGCACACTACTTTGGTGGCCAGCGACCCAATATTTATGAACATTTTAATATGTTATGAAATAAATCTCGCCACCAGTTTCCGTATAATATACTTAGGCGAACTCCGTTTGTGCGACGGCGATAATAAGAAGCCAAATACGGATTCGGTTTATTTTCGACAACCGTTCAAGTAGATGTAGTGGAACACTTCTATGAACAAAACGCGATTGGTGAAAAATAAACATTTATCATTGTACTCGTTTTGCTTGACTGTACTAAAAACACTTACTTGCACGCAACGTTCTTTCTCGCGTTGCTGGCATCTTTCATAACTTGCTTCTCGATATGACGCCTACTTTCTCCCTCAAATATATTCTCAACCCTGGATTTATTTCTAAAATTGGTGACGGGATAGTGATAAGTATTTAGTGGCGATCATAGTCAATCTCCATTCGGTCACCACTAAAGAGACATGATCACGCAAAGCATACAATTAAAGCGAAGCAGAGTGAAGTGGAGAAGGAGAATGATCCAACTCAATTCGGTTAAGCATGACTAAGAATTTATAGTCTGACAAAATAAGCCCGACATGTAATAAGCGGGATAGGCGTGCACACACGAATGAAAGCGATTCAGATATGAGCGAACGACTGATAAGTTCAAAAGACAAGTGGGACGAGCCCTGTGAGCTAGACATAACAGCACCCACTACAAAGGTGTACTTGATTTAATATGGCTAATTCTTTTGAGGGAATGCGTGACATGATATACCCAACATTGATCTGATTTAGATGTATTATGGATTACGTTATCTACAGTGTATTTAATAAAACTGTTGATTACATCTCCTATTTGCGATGGTCTTATAGGTCTGCAATACGATTATAAATGATCGTTTTCTAATCGTGCCTGATAGGAATATTTTGGCCAGCCAACATGTACCTGAACCCAGCTTATTACCATGATGCTAGATTGAAAATATATTCGATATGAGTAAGCACAACTGTTTGTCTCTCAGTAGTAGCAGTTAGGCGTGTCGGCTGCTCCATTAGCGCTGACGATATGGTCACTGACCAAATCTCAGTAGAGTTACTGACGACTGGATTGGCTTATGCCAACTTGCTTCATTTATAAAGTAGGCGAGATATCCATTTGCTTACCATAGAACTAGTCTGCTGCAGAGCAGTTAGCTCCTTTCTACTATATGGACGCGAAATATGGCCGCTGGGAGTTGAGGGTATTCGGCTTTTGGTATTCAGTTGTAGATGTCTTCGAAACATTGCTCGTATATCTTGAGGCAACCGATTATGCGCTGCTTTCGTTAAGAAAAGCTTACTAGATAAGGATGGCAACCACTTGATGAAGTATTGAAACTTCTTCATTTGGGGTGTTTGGGATATGTGTTGCATATACCACTGACTGCTTTGATGAGTGGCGTTTTGTGGTATTGAAGGAGGCCGGAAGAAAGCTATGCTGTCCAAACCAAAACGTGACAAAAATCAATGAAGTCACTTTGAAATGGATCGAGTTATGTTAGTAGGTGTAGACTACCTGGTTGGGGCCAACGAGATGATAGTAACGGATGGTTAAAGGCATTGAATGGCCTGACTCTAAACCATTTGCAACAGCGTAGGTGTGTCCATCCTCTGTGTTCTCTCAAATTCTAATCTTCTGAATTCCTTGTCGCCTCTAACACTCTGTGCCTAAATTTATTTCTCTAAATTATACTTCTTAAATAATATCTTCGAGGCCTAATCTTCTCACTCAACAGTAATACTTCTGCTATCTCTATCACTATGGGATCTCAACTGAAAATTGCGTCTCTGTGCTAGTGTGGTATGCAACGGGTTCTTACGAGTGAATTTGACATTCTGACCTCCTCCTGCTTCTCTGTTTTGCATCGGTGTAAATTATATTGTGATCTAAATCCATCCAACTGAATCTATATTTAGCTTTATATCGTGCCGTCACACGGAGGTTAGGTTAAGTGGGAAACTCATATTCATCACTTCCAGTCTTTTGTCCCATTGGAGTGGTATCACAGGTGATAAATTACTCTTTCCTCCGAATAAGAAATATTATTTTATGAGATAACTAATGAATTTGAGGCAAACCAAACCCGTGCCTAAAAGGATAAAAAAATTGCCATTCCATTTTGACAAGGTCTGTTTTTTTGTTTCAGTTGCTCAAAAAGTTTGTATGACCTTAAGCCGTGGGATTTTGGTTGATAAATTTTTTTGATGTCGGGTGGTTGTAATTATGCATCAATCAAGTTAGATATCCTACATCCAGATTACTTGTGTGACCTTGTAAACAAAGCATCAGATTCTAATATTTATGGGAAGAAGAAAGTTATTGGAGGATCAATTTCAAAAAATCCGTTCTGGCGTGACTCACTAGATTTACAACGCGATAATATTAGAAATGTTTTACATGAAACTCTCAAAGGAAAGTTCAGCATGTCTGACACTGGTTCGTTATCTGCGTCACAAAAAGACCTCGATGCGATGGAGAAAAAAAGAAAGACAGCCAGATCCGTGTTTGATGAAATGGTCCAGTATGGTAAACGACTCCTAGAGTGTATCAGAATTTTAAAGGTTAGCTAATTACATAGCTTATTCATTCGAGAATTACAGGATGTCAGTGATGAGATACAAAACATTTCATCATTCAAATGTAACAGTGTCATTAGTGGAATGTTCAAAGACATACCCTCCTTGTTCAAACTCCATGAACATTTGACTGAAAGTTTTGATTCCTGTAAGGCTGATGACATAACATTGCCATCCACTTTCACCAGTGACAGGGAGAATCAAATCCTAAATATTTACAAGAGTTTCCTCTGCCGCTATGCAGTTAATTTCAAAGCTTTCTCTGAAATATATTCCACGAATGAAGAGCTTCAAAGTATATGTAAAGGTATCGTTGTAAGTCAAGTTAACTAAATTTCTTGGTATTTAAAACATAACATTTCCGCCTTATTTCTCTCAGACATTAAGAAATAAAAGTTTGGTCAGTGAGAGATGTGTACTTTTATCCAGAACTTATATACTGTGGTTAAAATTTTCAACATCTGCTTTAGAAGCAAGGACAGGCTTATTATTTCTTTAAGTCTCAAACTTCCTTTTGTTGTATATTTATTATTATACCTTCTATATGTAGTTTTCCATTATCATTAATATTTACTATTTTTGACTATTCTTTTCTCTTAATCCTTGGTTTTATGTGGCATGCCGGAGTTTCCGGATGCATATTTGAGCCAGTTCTGTATCCTGTATAGCTGATTGTCTTCATAAGTGCAAATTACTTGCTTACATAGGACGGATTCTGTATGGATAGGTGATGTTAGTTTTTGAAGTCATTTTAAGATGTGTGTTGTAACGATTCCTTCGGTTCTGTTTGACTTTCATTTGTGATTTAAGAATTAGTGTTATGTTTAATTTTACTCTGATTGCTATGGGAACTTGGTTAGATACGTCTCCATTTCTATTTCATAAATCATAGTCAATCTGTTTTTCACGAAAATAATCTAAATCCTCTTGTCTTTAGTGCTTGATGTTAGATCCTATAACCGACTCTACTCACCCTAATTTGATTGATCATAGTGATTCCTGTTATATTTGTCATGTCAGTCAGTCACTCAAACGCAACGTGTATGCATCTGTTTAAGTTGCTATATCTCATTATCAACATGGCGTGATAAAATAGTCAGACTGAATCCCAGAGTAATAGAGGCTAACAGAAGCGAACAAGATTAAACATCCGAGATATAATTCGAGGAAATACAACTCAGTATAATCGAAACATTATAATGGACTATGAAACGTAGGATTTGAGAGAAGACAAAGTGAATGTACTTAATAATTATTATTAAGTTAAACATAAAAAGTGAACTGTACACACTGATTATAACTTATTCAGTCTCGTATATTGTTACGAGTATGAGGGCGGATGACACTTCCCGGCTGCCTACACTTTGGAAGGGTTTTTTTAAGCAAACTGAAAAGGAAGTTAGATTAGCGTTGGTATTAAAGACCTGGTAGCTTAACTGCACAGCCCAAGGGACAGCTGCTTAGGGCCGGTCATACATGACTTATAGGTGAGAAATTCTTAACGTGTTAGCTTCGCTCTTGAAATAGCTTTACCGTCGGAGACGACAATCCGTGACGTAAGGTGAGGTGTGACATTTTTGGGGTTGACCTTTTTTAATCCCTTCCTTTATTGTGAGAAGACAACATCGCTGCAGATGATAGGTAAACCCGATCACGACGTCTACGTAGCAGCTACATTCAGGGTACACATTGTTTGTTTCATTTCCTATTAATTTGTTTTAATGAAATTCAATACCACACTTTACAAAGAATAAGGATCAAAATTCAATAAAAAATATTTTGAGAAAAATTTGACATCAAACACATTGGCTAGTGACGCTCGATGTAAAAAATTGTACTTCAGTAATCTCATCGATTACCTAAAGAAACATTGGGATTATTCAAATATAATTTCTTATATATATATATATATTTATTTATTTTAGGGAAAATCTCAATATGAAGAACAACGTATACAAAATGTTCCTGGAATGTTCTATGGTGTCACTACAGCGTTACCACGATATAAAGATCTTATTTATAGTAAGATTCATTTGTTTTAAAAATAAAACATTTCTAATAATTTGAGTTAGGGCTTAAAGGTACAATGCTTTCAAGTGATCCAGAATATACAAATGTCACAAGTAAGCTAATCAATAATTCAATAAAAAAATATCCTGTAATGTAGAAGCTTGGAATTTTATTAAAGATTTATTGGAACGATCAGAACAAGAAATTATTATACAGGTGAGTGTTTTTTCTGTAATAATTTTCTGTAATAAACTATACAGTAAATCGGAATCAGAAAAAAAGATTTCAAGTAGATGAAATGCAAGAAAAGATAATTTTATCATGATCAAGTGTAAATATGTCAGTCAGTCAGTCAGTTAGTTGCAACGTAGAACTTCGTACGTGTGTACATAAGTTCATATTGCCATAACATATAAGCACAGAGACGTAAATGTCAAATCAAATCCTATAGTGATAAAGATAGTAGAGGTATTAATGGTAATGAAGAAGACTAGGGTTCGAAGATATTATTCAAGAAGTATAATTCAATGAGATATGTTTAGAAAGACAAAGGTAAAGGTGCTGACGAATCCAGAAGATTAGGATTTGAGAGAGTTCAACGAATGAATGCACTTGCGTCATTGCAAACGATTTTGAGCCATGTCATTCAAAGTTTCTAACCATTGGTGACTTTCTACTTGCGGACCTCAACCACGGTAGTCTACATCTACCAACATGACTAAGTCCACTAGTCAGTGACTTCATGGATTTCTGCCATGTTTTGGTTTGGTCGCCCCTAGCTTTCTTCCAACCTATTCCTACACTGCAAAACATAGCTCGTCGAGGCAGTCGGTGGTCAGGCATACGTAACACATGTCCCAACCACCCCAACTGACATAGTTTCATTACTTCATCTATTGGTCTGCCATCCCTACCTAGAACTCGTTTCTTAATGACAGCATTGCTCACTCGGTTGTCCCACGATATACGAGCAATGCTTCTTAAATATCTATGATCGAATACTAGTAACCTACGAACATCTTCTACTCTTAACGGCCATGTTTCACAGCCATAATTATGTGAAATGTTTAGTTTTCATTAATTTTTTCTCAAATACATCTCTTCTATGAGCCAATTAACACAAACATGAGTATAGCAGATATTGTCAAATGTTTGTTTTATTTCTTATGGTAAGCATAGTCTTGTGATCACCTGAAGTGTTGACCGCTTCACTTCTCTTGAGAGCCTCATCAGTCTTAACGAAATCTTAGCACGGATAGGGAAGGGTCGATTGGTTTTTTCCAGCTTGCGTCACTTATGGCGTCGGGGAGATATTCGTTTGTGCTAACCAAAGGACGAGTCTACTGTGCAGCAGTTTGCTCCTTCCTACCTAATGGCTATGAAATATCACCAGTAGGAGTAGAGGATATTCGTAGGTTGCTAGTATTCGATCAAAGGTGTCTTCGAAGCCTTGCTCGTATATGCTAGGACCATCGAGTAATGAATGCTTTTATTATAACCTAGGGATGACAGATCAATGGGTGAAGTAGTGAAACTTCATCAGGTGAGGAATAGGCTGGAAGAAAGCTAAAGGCGTTTAGACCAAAACATGGCACAAATTCATGAAGTCACTGACAACTGAATTGAGTTATGTTGGTAAGTGTAGACTACGTGATTGCGGTCCACGAGATGATAGCAGTCGATGGTTAGAGAGACCTTGAACTACATGGCTCAAAATCGTTAACGTTGTAGTAGGTGCATCCAGTCTTTGTCACCTTTGAAATTCTAACCTTCTGAATTTCTCATCATCACTATCTTATACTTCTTGAATAACTTCTTCAACCTATAATCTTTCTGACTGGTATGTAACGGAAGTTTTCAAATAGTTTACAGAGTGAAAATCATGCTTCACATTGTATTTTAAATAACCGATCAGTGTTTTTTTTTATTCTGTAGTGTAAATTTTGCTGAATATTTTTATAAAAAGTTTAATTCCAATTAATTTTATTGAATTCCGCTTTTTGGTCGTTTCTTATTTTTCAAGGAGAAAATGTCGAATGCTAGAGAAGCACTTAGTAAATTAGATGGTCTTCGTGTAAAGTATACTCAAATCCCTCTACTACATCTAGAAGGACCTGCAAAAAAACTTCCTCGACGTTCAATGCATAGACGACTGTTGGATAGATATTTATTTCTTGTAAGATGATGATTTTTTCCCATTATATTATGATATTAGTTTAGCTGTTTATTCATTGAACCCGTTAACGTTTTAAAAAAAACCTTTGAAATAAAATAAAGCTTTATGCCCGTGAAATATCTCGCTTCACTTATCTGGGGAGTCTCATCAGTGCCGATGGCCTGGTGACTGACGAAATCTCAGCGCGGATAAAGAAAGCTCGATTTGCTTTTGCCAGTTTACGTCGTTTATGGCGTAGGCCTGATATCCGTTCGCTAACCAAAGGACGGGTGTACTGCGCAGCAGTTCGCTTCGTTCTCCTATATGGCTACGAAACATGGCCGTTAAGAGTTGAAGATGTTCGTAGGTTACTAGTATTCGATCACAGGTGTTTAAGAAGCATTGTTCGTATATCCTGGGACACCCGAGTGAGCAACGCTGTTATTAGGAATCAAGTACTAGGTAAGAATGGCAGATCAATAGATGAAGTAGTGAAACTTCATCAGTTGAGGTGGTTGGGACATGTGTTACGTATGGCTAGCCACCGACAGCCTCGACAAGCTGTTTTGTGGTGTAAGATGTACGGATGTTATAGAATATAAGCTTGGAAATTCAATTGTCAATTCAAATCCTATGGAGTTAGATGTAGTAAAAGTATAAGCGACAGTGGAGATGATTAGGGTTCAAAAAAACTTATTCAAGGAGTACAATCCAGCGAAATATATGTTAAAAGTGAAAGATAGAAGTGATGAGGAATTCAGAAGATTAGAATTTGATAGAACTCAAAGAATGAATGCCTTGGCGTCAGTACTGTCGATTTTGAGCTATGTTACTCAGTGTCTCTAACCATCGATCCTCAACTTGATAGTCTGCACTTACCGACATGGTTCAGTCTACTTCTCATTGACTCGCCTACGCAATAATTGATTTAGGTTGGCAAGTGTCACTCGATGCTTTCTGCGTTTGTGCTGAAATTTCGCCAATTACCAACCTATCAAGACTAATGAGACTGTCAGTTCGCTCCGTCTTACTTTATTGTTGTGAAGCATGGCCAGTGAGTGTAGAAGATATTCGTAGGTTACTGGTTTTCGATCATAGGTGTCTCCGAAGCATTGCTCGTATATCCTGGGACAACCGAGTGAGCAACGCTGTTATTAGGAATAAAGTACTAGGTAAGAATGGCAGATCAGTAGATGAGGTGTTGAAACTTCATCAGTTGAGGTGGTTGGGACATGTGTTGCGTATGTCTAACAGCCGACTGCCTCGACAAGCTTTGTTTTTAGGTGTAGGAGTAGGTTGGAAGAAAACCAGGAGCGGCCAGACCAAAACATGGCAGAAATCCATGAAGTCATTGACAAGTGGACTGAGCCATGTCGGTAATTGTCTACTACCTACCTGGTCGGGTTCAGCGAAATGATAATAATCGATAGTTAGAGACCCTGAATGACATGGCTGAAAATCGTTTCCAATGGCGCCGGTACATTTATTCTTTGTGTTCTCTCAAATCCAAATCCTAATCTGGATTCTTCAACACCTCTAGTTTTGTCTTTCTAAACTTTTCTCACTGAATCATACTTCTTGAATAATATCTTCTAATCCTAACCTCTCCGATTACTTCTAATTCCCTTACTAACTCTACTACTATTGGATTTGAATTGACAATTATATCTCTGTATGCTAATGTGGTTTGGTAACATGAAATGATGTACTTATGTACAAAGTTCTACATTGCATCTGACTGACTGATGAGATTGTCAAGATAACTGATGCGCTTAACACGTCCAACCATTTTACTTCATATCACTTGTTCAGTTGCCAATGAAAGCCCCAATACTATAATCCAATAGGAAAGTAGTTAAGTATGCTTAACATTTCATTCAATGAAAAATCACAACATCATCAAATTATTTTAATTCAATATACAAACCTTTCAAATAAACTTATTCAATACATTTAAAAAAAATGTTACACTAATGTAGAAAACGTGATATTGAAGCTAAGAGTTTTAATTTTTTCTCACTGTTTCAAATTACCCGATAAAATCGAGTTCGATTGACCTTTTGTGTTGCAGTTTACTTTGCATGAAATGTCAACATTCAATAAAATGCTCATTATTAGATTGATAATACTAATTAAACTTTCTATGATTAAATATTCTTGAGTCAGTCAGTCAGTCAGTTGCAACGTAGAACTTCGTACGTAAGTACATCAGTTCATGTTGCCATACTACACATTAGCACACAGAGATATAATTGTCAATTCAAATCCAATAGTAGAAGAGGTAGTAAAGGTATTAGAAGTAATCTGAGAGATTAGGATTAGAAGATATTATTCAAGAAGTATGATTCAGTGAGAAAAGTTTAGAAAGTCAAAACTAGAGGGGTTGAAAAATCCACACGATTAGGATTTGAGAGAACACGAAGAATAAATGCACCTGCACCATTGCGAACGATTTTGATCCATGTCATTCAAGGTCTCTAGCCATCGATTATTATCATCTCGCGGACCCCAACCAGGTAGTTGACAATTACCGACATGGCTAAGTCCACTCGTCAATGACTTCATGAATTTCTGCCATGTTTTGGTCTGGCCGCCCCTAACTTTCTTACGACCTATTCCTACACTACAAAACAAAGCTCGACGAGGCAGTCGGTGGTTAGGCATACGTAACACATGTCCCAACCACCTCAACTGATGAAGTTTCACCACTTCATCTATTGACCTGCCATTCTTACCTAGTACCCGTTTCCTAATAACAGAGTTGCTAACTCGGTTGTCCCACGATATACGAGCAATGCTTCGAAGCGGTCTACACGGTCGACCACTTCACTCCCTATCACTAGTTCAGGTGCCGATGCAACCCAGTCTTGAAGCAACATTTTGCATTTCGAGGTGGAAAACCGCATCCCGAACATGCTTGCATTGTGTGTGTCTGTGTTCCAGGACCTGTCGTAGTGTGAAGACGTGGTCTATACAACCACGTCCAGGTCGAAAACCAGCCTGGTTTTCTCGAGTCTGCTCTTCACGAGCTTTCGTTAAGCGTCGAAGTATTATTGAGGCCAATATTTTAGATACTATATATTAGTTAGACTTATTCCTCTGTGATTGTCACAAGAAGACTTCTGTCCTTTGTTATTCTTGAAACAGAGAAAAAACAAACAATGTAACTTATATCACAAGATGAAATGTCGTTCATTGTATGTGCTTTTATTTTCCAAAAAAAAAATTTTTAGTGATAAGTTATTTTATCATTATTATTATTATTATTTTGTTTTGTTTTAGTTTTCTGAATATTTAGTCATGACTGAACCTCCTAATACTGTTGGTCGTTGTCAAGTGAAATCAGAGATACGTTTAGCTGGAATGACAGTAAGTTTGTTTATTGATCATTTTTGTGTATATTTTGAACAAAATTTGTAAAATATTTTGTCACTGTTTAGTGTTCAATAGAAGATATTCGTAAGGTACTAACTAGTATTTGATCATTGGTGTCTTTGAAGCATAGCTCGTGTATTCTTGTATCATCGGATCAACATTGCTTAGGTTAGGAAAAGTGTACGAGGTAAGGATTGCAAATCGTTTGTTGAAGCAGTGAATCTTCACCAGTTGAGGTGCTTGGGATATGTTTTTACGTATGTCCATCTGTAGTGAACGAGAACACAGGTGGGGCAACCGAATTGTGTTTAGCGAAAATTACAGAGTTACTCAGCAAAATTGGAAAACCATATCGTAAATCGTTTATTTGCATAATATCAGTTTATCATATCGAACTGGACTGTTCCTGTTGCAAAACATCAATCCATTGTCACTATTCATTCGTTTCATACAAATTCCATTGTTTTCTAACTCTTCCTTTCTTCATCTCTCCCCATCTTCCGCTGCCACACATTACGTTGACACTCACGTCATATACTACTTATAAGTAGCTCACACCACACATCCACCGGCTACCTTAACGAGCAATGTTTTCTGATGTAGGGGTATGCTGAAAGTTAGGGACGGTCAAATTATAGTATGGCACAAATCCATGAAGTCACAGACAACTAAACTGAGCCATGTTAGTAGGTGTAGACTACCTGGTTGGGGTCCACGAGATAATAGTAGCCGATGGTTAGTGACTTTGAGTGACGTAAGTTAAAAATCGTTTGTACTGGCGCAGATACATTCATTCTTTTCGATGGTAGAGAAAATTTGTAGCTCCGTTGGATGATTTTAGTGTAGTTTCGTTCTTTGAGCTGGATGTTTTAGTTGTGGAGCTTTCATTGTTCTTCTTCCGAACACAGCATTATCAGCACAAACTTCAAAATGAAGAAGTGAACTATTTGAATTTCTCCGCGTGTATGACTCGTAACTTTTGAATTCCTCATCACTTTTGTCTTTTCCATTACTGCTAATACTGCTCCGATCTCTATTACTATAAGATTTGAAATGATAAGTCGATCGTCTCTCTATGTGTACTGATATGATATGGCAACTTGAACCTCCCTGTTCGTACATTACTAAATTCTACATTGTAGTTGGCTGACTGACTGTTGAGTATTTCATAGGTATTTTTGTAACTGAAAAATCTCAGGCTGATAAAAAGACTACATAACGACCGTGAACAGTGGTGGGTGGCGAAAACAAAAGCGATGGAAAAGCCAGCGGCGATTGGCAACACTAGACAACTTTTCCGATTTATCAAAGAAACTGGTATTAGGAATCCTAGTGTAAGTGAGACTATCTCGGAAATCGATAGGACTATTATTTATTCTCAATCTAGGAGACTGGATCGATGGGCAGAACACTTTAGGGATCAGTTCAACTGGCCTCGAGCCACTCTTCGGTTACCCACGATCTCCAGTCATCCTGAATGGCAAATCGACGTAAGTCCCCCTAGTCTTAATGACGTTGAGAAAGCGTTAGGAAATCTGAAGCGAGGGTGAGCTGCAGGTCCTGATAGACTGACGCTTGAGATATTTAAGAATGGTGGTCCAGTTTTAGCAGCTAGATTGACTGAGATCTTAGGAAGAATCTGGGAACTGGACATAATCCCATCCGACTGGTCTCAATCACTGATTGTCCCAATCTATAAGAAAGGACAAAAGTCCTCTTGTGACAATCACAGAGGAATAAGTCTAACTAATATAGTATCTAAAATATTGGCCTCAATAATGCTTCGGCGCCTAACGAAAGCTCGTGAAGAGCAGACTCGAGAAAACCAGTCTGGTTTTCGACCTGGACGTAATTGTATAGACCACATTTTCACACTACCATAGGTTCTCGAACACAGACACATCATTTAGGCGTCCAAACTGAAAAATCTATTCATCATCAAAATATGATGTGTATGTTTATGTTACTTGACTGTCTGTTTTCCAAATGAAGTAGCCTAATTTTTGACATTATTGACCTGAATAGTATATATATATATATATATATATATATATATATATATATATATATATATATATATATATATATACATTTTCACATAAAAATACTTTTAGTTTAGTAAAATTTTCTCATAGAATATTTTTCAAAACAATTCTATTCATAAGCTCTCTTGATTATTATTATTGAAACTAACTAAAAATGTCTATATATATATATATATATATATATATATATATATATATGTAAAGTACAATGCATTTCATTCAAAATTTATCAATGTTGTTTTATTTGTATATAGAGTTTTTCCAATTTATTAAGTTAGCAATATCAATATTCATATTGAAATTTCTTAAGAGATTAAATAAGTTCTTAATACAGATGATGAGGATGATGATGAGAATAGATTTTATGTTACATGATAGTAAGAAATTTTTGCAGATTATTGAGTTTCATGGAAATTATGAATTGATCTGTGTTAGACTACCGATTAGAAAGAAACTTGGAAGCATTGGAGACACTGATAGACAGACAGACAGATACACGGCAGAAAGTCGTTGGCATAACACATCAGCAGAGAGACGTAACTGTCAGTTCCAATCCAAGAGTATTAGCAGTAATGGAGAAGATTAGGGAGAGAAGATATAATTCGAAAAGTATAATTTCAGTCAGATAAATTTAGAAGGAGAAAGATAGAGGTGATGAGAAATTCAGAAGGTGAGAATTGAAGAGAACACAAAGAGTGAATGCATCTGCGCCATTGCAAACGATTCTGAGCCATGTCGTTCAAAGTCTCTAACCATTGGTGACTTTCGTATCGCGGACCCCAACGAGGTAGCCTACATCTGCCAACATCACTCAGTACACTTGTCAGTGACTTCATGGATTTCTGTCATGTTTTGGTTTAACCGCTACTATCTTTCTTCCAACCTACTCCTACACCACAAAACATAGCTCGTCGAGGAAGTCGGTGGTTAGGCATACGTAACACATGTCCCAACTACCTCAACTGATGAAGTTTCACTACTTCATCTATTGATGTGCCATCCCTACCTAGGACTAGTTTTCTAACGACAGCATTGCTTACTCGGTTGTCCCACGATATACGAGCACTAGTTCCGGTGATGTCTCAAGCCAATCCTGAAGCAACATTTTGCATTTCGAGGGTGAAAACCGCATCCTGAACATGCTTGCATTGTTTCTTAGGGTAGTCAGAAGACTCTGCACCTTGTCAGCACTGTAGGTTTGTAACTGTATACTGAAAAGTCATAAATACGCTTAATAATGACTACATTCGTAAATAAATTCTCCGAGTTCTAGTGAGAAGTCGTAAACAGTGAGGATCAATCCTGTGCGGGCGATATAGGAATAGGTTGAACGAAAGCTAATGGTGGCTAGACCAAAACATGGCAGAAATACGTGGAGTCACTGACAAGTGGATTGAGTCATGTCGGTAGGTGTCGACTACCTGGTTGGTGCCCGCTAGATGATAGTAATAAATGGGTAAAGACCCTGAGTGACATGGCTCAAAATCATTTTCAATTGCGCAGGTACATTTATTCTTTGTGTTCTGTGAAATTCTAACCTTCTAAATTCCCCATCACCTCTATCTTTCTCCTAAATTTACATCACTGAATTATACTTCTTGTGTAACATCATCGAACCCTAATCTTTCTGATTACTTCTAATACTTTTACTACATCTACTACTATGGGGTTTGAATTGACAATTATATCTCTCTGCTAATGTGGTGTGGCTGCATTTCTACATTTGAAAAGTATCTGGAAATCCAAACAAATATCAATCAACACAAAAATCAGGATTTTCAATACAGTTCTACTGTATGGAGCGGAAACTTGGAGAACTACCAAAGCCATCATCCAAAAGATACAAGTATTTATGAACAGTTGTCTACGCAAAATACTTTTGATTCGTTGGCCAGACACTACCAGCAACAACTTACTTTGGAGAGAACAAACCAGATTCGAGTGGAGGGGGAAATCAGGAAGAAGCGATGGAAGTGAATAGGACACACTACAAAAAGCACCCAACTGCGTCACAAGACAAGCCCTCACACGGAACTCTCGATGTAAAAGGAAAAGAGGAAGGCCAAGGAACACACTACGCCGAGAAATAGAGAAAGATATGAGAGGAATGAACAAACATTGGACAGAACTTGAGAGAGAAGCCCAGGACAGAGTTGGTTGGAGAAAACTGGTGGGTGGCCTATGCTCCATTGGGGGTAACAGGCGTTAGTAAGCTAGTAAGTAAGTAATGTGGTATGGCAACTTGAACTGCTGTACTTATGTGCAAAGTTTTACGTTGCTCTTGATGATGATGTTTGGGTGAGAAGCATTGCACACAGGAGACAGTGAATAAGGTTGCGAAATACGTTGGGTTGATTTAAGTTAAACATTAATACTAATCTAGAGGTTAAGCGTTTGTACGTCAGACCGAAGGTCCTGGGTTCAGTTCCCACAAGTCGGGGTTGTGGATGTTTACTGCTGACGAATCACATACTAGGACGAAACGGCTGCCCGGCGTTTCCAAATATTTATTAGTGATCTGATAATGATTGATTTATAATTTCAATGAAAAGCAAGTATGTGATTTGATGAATGTATCTATCGTAAATTCAATATCTCCATTGTATTTTCTTTAATTATGTTCGGTTAATCAATTCACTGCACCTTGTCTATCCATCAAAACATTTGCGGCGCGTATAACATTCATGTGGTTTTCCCCCTCACATTGCAAAATGTTGCTTCAAGATTGGGTTGCATCGGCACCTGAACTATTGATAGGGAGTGAAGTAGTCGAACATGTAGACTGCTTCACTTATCTCGGGAGTCTCATCAGTGCTGATGACATGGTGACTGACGAAATCTCAGCACCGATATAGAAAGCTCGACTGGCTTTTGCCAACCTGCGTCACTTATGGCGAAGGCGAGATGTCCGCTTGTTGAATTGTGTTTGTCGGCTATGCAAAATCCTTAATCACCATATTTTATTTTTATACTCAATTTCATTTGAGCAAGAAAATCTATCATTCTTTTTCATCAATATCCTAAAATAAAAGACATGAAATCCAATTTAATATTAAATTTACTTTGTTCAACATTAACTGAAAATATTGGAAACTGATACTTCCATCTACAATCAGATATATACCTGTTATCCCCAGCGGAGTAGGAGCGGCTGATCGGCATTCTTTAACCTACTGTGTTCTGGGCCTTTCCCAGTTCTATCTAATTGATATTCGTTCTTTTCATATTAGCTTCCAATTACCGACGCAATGTATTCTTTGGTCTACCACTTTTCCTTTCTAAGTTAGGGCTTCTGTTATGATGTAATTAGATGCTTTCTTCAATGTGTGTCCTATACACCTCCAGTACTGCTTCCTGATTTCTCGGTCTACTGGAATCTGGTTTGTTCTTCTTCACAGTAGATTACTGTCGATGGTTTCTGTTCAACGGATTAGCAGTATCTTGCGATTCTCATCTAATGAATGTCAATAATAATGTGGAGAGCCAATCAGAAGTGACCGAATGAGAAGGTCATTTGATGGCTATTAGAAATGTCCTATTGGCCAAGAAATAGATTCATTTTCTAAGTGGAAAGGATGTATATATATATATATGATTCGGTAATCAAATGGACTTTTTTTCCCACAGACAGACAAACAGATACAACAGAGAACTTCGTACGTAGGTACATCAGTTCAGGTTGCCATGCCCCATCGGCACACAGACGAAACTGTCAGTTCAAATCCAACAGTGATAGCAATAATAGAAGTATTAGCAGTAATGGAGAAGATTAGGGAGCGAAGATATGATTTGAGCAGTATAATTCAGTAAGATAAATTTAGAAGGATAAAGATAGAGATTATGAGGAATTCAAAAGGTTAGCTGCTACCTTGACGTGGTCGTTGGGCTTGCCTATCGTGATGACCCAGCCGAGACATACTGGCTGGAACATGTGTTCCTGAAGGTTCTACCATGCCAGGCAGGTCGGTTGGAGAACGATGAGACTAAAAGCAGCTACTCAAGGTCTGAGGGCGAAGTCGTACTGCTGACTGTGATGGAGGGGTGTGACAACAGTAAGGCTGTAGTGCCTCCACATATATTTCAGTTCTCTCACATCTAACTTGGTTAAGCCCTTTCGATTAATTTATTTAACCAAGCCATTCGCTTAGCAACAACTTGTATGTACCATTGTTATTTTTTATTATCTGCTTTGTATGAGCTTATACGACTGAGCATTGCTTACGCTTACGCACTTACTCATCCTTTTCGCTTTAATGTTAGTCTCGTAATATTCCCATGAACTCACGTGATTTGTATCGCTTGTCATTTGACCTTGTCAATCATTCGTCGCTTTTATTCATGTGTGTGCATACCTATTTCGCTTGTCATATGTCTGTCTTATTTTTATCTGACTATATATTCTTAGTCATGCTCTATCTCAAAGAGTTGGCTCACTAGCCTTCTCCACGTCGCTTCTTCAATTCGCTATGTGGTGTGCCTCGAATAAACGTATACGATACTTGGAGTTCATCTTCTGATTTATAAACCGAGCTATTTGAACACGCAATAAGCCGGCACACTACAAGGCGTTTCCCTCGGACGACCAGCATGTGCAGTGATGCTGCCTTGTCACAAGGAAGGAAGGGTTAGAAAAGGTCGACCCTAAATATGTCGCACATCACCCTACTTCACGGATTTCCGTCTCCTTGGGTAAGGGTGCCCACTAAGGGCTTTCAAGAGCGGAGCTAACACTCAAAAAAATTCTCATAAAAAGGCCGTGCGTGACCGGCCTCAAGCAATTCTCTCTTGGACTCTGTGGTCACGCTCGCAGGTCGTTCGGACCAACGCTAATCTACCTTCCTTTTCAGGTTCCTCAATAAACACCCTTCCATGGTGTGGGCAGCCAGGAAGTGACAACCGCCCTCATACCCCATAACAGCACACGAGACCAATTCGGTCAAAATCAAATCCTTCCTATACCCCCTAATTCCTTTCTCTTTTTCCCGCCCTTGTCTTCTGCTCAATTGATCAGTTTAGAGTAATAGTGCATATTCATCACTTTGAGTTATGAAAAACACCGTCCATCATAATGATAACCTGTTTAATTTTTTGTTGATTATTAACTATTCTATTGATGACAAAAAGTGAATATTTTATCATGTAGGTATGTTTTTCATGAATTAACATACACAACTAATAATAGTAGTAATAAGTAGTAGTGTAGTGAAGGAGAACACAGGTGAGGCCAACCGAATTGTATTTAAACGAAAATTACAGAGTTACTCAGTAAAATCGGATAACCATATCGTGTAAACGGTGGTTAATTTGCAAATCTTCAATCCATCATCATCAATCGATTGTCTGGCATTTCACTCACTATTCATGCTATTTCATACAAATTCCATTGTGTTCCCGCCCTTCTTCCTTTCTTGATATTCTCTCATGTGCTGCCAGACATTACGTTTTCACTCGCATCATATACTACTTATAAATAGCGCGCACCAGAGTAGTATCATGCTTCTACTGTGTTTTGTTTTGTTTTATTCTATCTAGTTATATGAATTGGAAGATGATGATGTCGTTGAAATTAATGTTGAACATTGTTTTCGAATTAAAGCAAAAGAATTATGTGTTGAAATTGCTTTTTCGTAAGTAAAAATATTTACGGATTGTTTTTTTTTGGTTGTAATTGTCGGTGAAATTATACAAACGATTCATTGAGTGTTTTCAATTTCATGAACGATAAACCATGTTCAAATTGGACATATATATGTTGTGTAGATCTATCTGTTCCACTGGTCCCAGTGATTCAACACAACGCGATGACGATCGTTACGACAAATGTTGTCAGGGAAGTCTATCAACTAAGTTGTAAAATATGGTAGTAGATGTTACGCTTGCACGTCAACACGTCAACTTGATATACTTGAACTATTACGAGTTTACCTAGTCGGAAACGCGAGGGCGAGCATTGAGGATCCGGCCACACGATATACTACTCAAATCCGATTATTCCAACCCCCATATTGAGTAAAAATAAGAAGACTTGATATGAAGTAGAATCTGTATTCTACAAGCATTCACAAAGTATGAGGTCCGAGTCGAGAAGAGAATCAGGATCCCGGACTAGGGATCCTGGACCGGGTACTGGTCTTGGTCATAAAACGTTACACATTTTGGTCGAATGAAAAACAGCATCGAAGTCTGTGACATTGACAGTTAAGACTACCAATAGGAAGGAACATTTGAAGTGACATTGATAGTCAAGACAACCAATAAGAAATAACATTGAAGCACGTGATATTGACATCTAGGACGACCATAAAATTGACCAGTAGGAATAGATCAATAATTGTCTTACGATATTGGATCAATATCCTTACAGTAGGCTGGAATAAAACCAGGAGTGGCCAAAATAAAACATGGCACAAATCCATGAAGTCACTGACAAGTGAACTGAGTCATGTTAGTAGATGCAGACTACCTGGTCGGGGTCCGCGAGACGAAAGTGAGCGATGGTTAGAGACATTGAATGACATGGCTAAAAATCGTTTGCAATAGAGCAGATGCATTAATTATTTGTGTTCTCTCAAATCCAAACCTATATCACTAGATCCTAATTCTTGAATAATATCGTCGCACCCTAATCTCCTTGATTACGGCTAATACTTTTACAACCTCTAATACTAAGGGATTTGAATTGACAATTACATCTCTGGGCTAGTGTAGTTGTTAGGATATTCATCCAATATCCTAAGAAAATTATCGGTCCCTAGTCCGGGATCCTGATTCTCTTCTCGACTCGGACCTCGTACTTTCTGGATGCTTATAGAATACAAGTTCTACTTCACATTCAAGTCTTCTTATTTTTTACTCAATATGGGGGTTGGGATAATCGGATTCGAGAAGCATGTCGAGTCGCCAGATCCTTGATCCTCGCTCTCGCGTTTCCGACTAAGTAAACTTGTAATAGTTCAAGTATATCAAGTTGACGTGCTGGTCTAACAGTAGTATGGCAACTTGAACTGATATACGTATGTACGTACGAAGTTCTAGGTTACTGTTGATTGATTCGATTGACAGACGAATCAAACTTCAGTCACATTATCAACAAAGCGATAAACTGAAACCATTTTAAATTGATTTCGATACTTATACCTGAACTCAATAGCTTAGTAAATAATGTGATAGCGTTTGAAACGAAATTCATTAAATTAGAATACTGTAATATTATACACCAACTTTATGACAGACAGATACAATGCAGAACTTCGTTGCCATACTACATCATCACAGAGACGCAACTGTCACTTCAAATCCAAGAGTGATAGCGATAATAGAAGTATTAGCAGCAATGGAGAAGATTAGGGAGCTAAGATATGTTTCGAGAAGTATAATTCAATAAGATAAATTTAGAAGGGGATATGTAGAGATTATGAGGAATGCAGAAGCATAGAATTAGTGAGAACACAAAGAGTGGATGCACCTGCTCCATTGCAAACGATTCTGAGCCATGTCGTTCAAGGTCTCTAACCATCGGCGACATTCGTCTCTCAGACCCCAACGAGGTAGCCTACATCTACCAACATCACTCAGTTAACTTGTTACTGACTTCATGGATTTCTGTCATGTTTTGGTGTGGCTGCCCCTAGCTTTATGAAGCAGTTACACAGAGTTGAAGTCCAGAGCATATATCTTAGATTCCATTACCAAATACAGTCCATTCTCACAAGATGCACTTGTGTCAACTAAGGCTGATCAAATTTTAGCCAAACTATTCATAACGAGATAATCAAAACCATTTCGAATTTAAGTAAAATGTTGGAATGTTTATAAAATCAATGAATGATTGAATAAAGAATAGTATTTGAGCAAAGAGAACTTATGATATAAACTACTAGCTGTGTAAATCCTAATCAATGACGATAGTTCGTTTTTAATTTATATGAAGACTGCAATAGAAAATTACACCAATATTACTATTGGCTTCTATTCTGAGTCATGCTGTACTAACATCTGAAACCAATAAGTCCTATGATCTTTAAGACTTCAACTAGATCGCTATGGTCAATAATAACATCTTCGAATAGTCCTACATAACTGTCATTCATATTTAGACACTTATTTTGTACTGATCACCTTTTCGCTTTCCTCGCTGAGTCCCGACTATGGTTCATGGTTTCAAAAATGTGTAACTTAACAATCTTCACAACAACCCTGTAATGTAAATTAACTGTGCTCACTAGTGACTAGCTTCGTGAGGAAATTCTCGAGGTTCTAGTTGAGAAGACGTGACCAATGGGGTTCAACCCTGTCGAGTGTAGGCAGTAACTACCAAAGACAAATGGGTGAGGTCGCACAAAATCCCTAGATCAATCAGAGTTAGATATTACCACCGTTGGATGTCGGCACAGTGAGTGGTCCGATAGTTAGGCGTTCCAGTAGAGATCTTGTATATGGTTTATGTACTTTTTTGGCACACATTTCAATGACAGACACTGCCACAGAACCTCACGATCCACTGAGTCAAATGCCGCCATAAGGCCTAGGAAAACAAACATGAAGGACGCCTAAATGTGTGCCTGTGTTCCACGACCTGTCGTAGTGTGAAAATGTGGTCTATACAACCACGTCCAGGTCGAAAACCAGCCTGGTTTTCTCGAGTTTGCTCTTCACGAGCTTTCGTTGAGGCCAATATTTTAGAAACTATATTAGTTAGACTTATTCCCCTGTGATTGTCACAAGAAGACTTTTGTCCTTTCTTATAGATTGGGACAATCAGTGATTGAGACCAGTAGGATGGGATTACGTCCAGTTCCCAGATTTTACCTAAGATTTCGGTCAACCTAGTTGCTAAATCTGGACCACCATCCTTAAATATCTCAGGGGTCAGTCTATCAGGACCCGCAGCTCGTCCTCGCTTCAGATTTCCTAACGCTTTCTCAACTTCATTAAGACTAGGGGGACGTACGTCGATTCGCCATTCAGGATGACTGGAGATCGTGGTTAACCGAAGAGTGGCTCGAGGCCAGTTGAACTGATCCCTAAAGTGTTCTGCTCATCGATCTAGTGTCCTGGATTGAGAATGGATAATAAGACCATCCTTTTCCGAGATTGAATAAAGAATAGTATTTGAGCAAAGAGAACTTATGATATAAACTACTACTTGTGTAAATCCTAATCAATTACGACAGTTCGTTTTATATTTATATGAAGACTGCAATAGAAAATTACACCAATATTACTATTGGCTTCTATTCTGTGTCATGCTGTACTAACATCTGAAACCAATAAGTCTTATGATCTTTAAGACTTCAACTAGTTCGCTATGGTCAGTAATAACATCTTCGAATAGTCCTACATGACTGTCATTCATATTTAGACACTTATTTTGTACTGATCATCTTTTTGCTTTTTTCGCTCAGTCCCGACTATGGTTCATGGTTTCAAAAATGTGTAACTTAACAATCTTCACAACAACCCTGTAATGTAAATTAACTGTGCTCACTAGTGACTAGCTTCGTGAGGAATCTTCTCCGAGTTCTAGTGGGAAGACGTGACCAATGAAGTTCAACCTGTTCAGGTGTAGACAGTAACTACCGAAGACTGTGTATGAGGTTGCGCAACTCCGTGAATTTGATCAAGTTAGACATGAACACCGTTAGATACCGGCTCAGTGGTCCGATGGTTAGGCCTTCGCGCACCATACCAAAGGTCCTTGATTGGAACCCTGCGCGGTGCAGGAGTCGTGGATGCGCACTGCCACTGAGGAGTCCCATACCAGTGGACGAAACGGCCGTCTTTCAATGTTTCCAAGTTTCTTATTATGGTTTAACATTGATCGATTCATGGTTTCAAAAATGTGTAAATAATAAACTGTACTGAGCTCTAGAGTTTAAGTGTGCTCGTAACTCACATTCCTGGGTTCGCCTCCTTCATACGTTGTGATGGATGCTCACCACAAAGGATGTTCGTACTAGGTCTACAATCGTCTTTTAACATTAATCGGTTCATATTTTCGATGAATGTAATCTAGTTTGTTTTTTTTGTGGTGAACATTTGACGTCTACATTCATTCACACATAGAATCAGTTCAATGACCAATTTAATCATTGTTTGAAATTATCAATCAATCATTGTTAGACCACCATTAGAAACCTGGAAGCACTGGACAATGGCCGTTTCATCTTGGTATGGGACTCATCAGCAGTGCGCATCCACGACTCCTGCACCTGGCAGGATTCGAACCCGGGACCTTCGGCATTGTAGGCGAACGCCTTACCATCGGACCACTGGGCCGGCATCCAACGGTGTTAATGTCTAACTCTGATTGATCTAGAGATTTTGCGCGACCTCACTCATTTGTCTTTGGTAGTTACTGCCTACTGCACCCGACAGGATTGAACTCCATGTTTCTTCCAGGTTTCTAATAGTGGTCTAACAATGATTGATTGATGATTTCAAATGTGTAAAAACGTAAAAACCTCCAAAACTCTGCCCTAAAATTAATCATTGTTATTTAATCATTGTGTTGTTTAATTTTTATTCAAGAAATGCTGATGAAAAACAACTTTGGTGGCGTGAATTACAACAAGCTATTGATTTCGAGTGCAATAAATCGAATATTAATTGTTCCGATGAAAAAGTGAGTTGATGATTATGATTATGATTATTATTATTTGTATGATTACTTAATTATGTCTGTTACCCCTGATACAGCATAAGCCATCCGATCAAAATTTCTAAAGCCTACTCTGTTCTGGATGCTTCCCTTTCCAGTTCTGTTCAATTGTTGTTCATTCTTTTCATGTCTGTTTCCGAACATTCTAAGCGACAATGCAAGCATGTTCGGAATGCGGTTTTCTCCGTTGAAATGCAAAATGTTGCTTCAAGATTGGGTTGCATTGGCACTTGAACTAGTGATAGGGAGTAAAGTAGTCATGCGTGTAGACCGCTTCACTTACCTGTGGAGTTTCATCAGTGCTGATGGCATGGTGAATGATGAAATCGCAGCACGGATACAGAAGGCTCGATTGCTTTTTGCCAACTTGCGTCACTTATGGCGTAAGCGAGATATCCGTTCGCTGACCAAAGGAAGAGTGTACTGTGCAGCAGATCGCTCTGTCCTACTATACGGATGCGAAATATGGCCGTTAGGAGTAGAAGACTTTCGTAGGTTACTAGACTTTGATCATCGTTGTCTCCGGAGTATTGCTCGTGTATCATGGGACAACCGTATAAGCAATGCTATCGTTAGGAAACGAGTACTAGGTAAGGATGGCAAATCAATAGATGAAGTAATGAAACTTCATCAGTTGAGGTGGTTAGGACATGTGTTGCGTATGCCCAACCACCGACTGCCTCGACGAGCTTTGTTTTGTAGTGTAGGAATAGGTTGGAAGAAAGTTAGGGGCGGCCACGACAAAACATGGCAGAAATCCCTGAAATCACTGACAAGTGGATTGAGCCATGTCAGTAGTTGTCGACTACCTGGTTGGGGTCCGCGAGATGATAATAATCGATGGCTATAGACCTTGAATGACATGGCTCAAAACCATTTGCAATCGAGCAGGTGCATTTATTCTTTGTGTTCTCTCAAATCCTAATCTTCTGGATTCTTCAATACGTGTTGTTTCGACTTTCTACCCTTTTCTCACTGAATCATACTTCTTGACTAATATCTTCTAATCCTTAACCTCTCCGATTACTTCTAACAGCTTTACTACCTCTACTACTATTGGATTTGAATTAACAATTATATCTCTGTGCTACTGTGGTATGGCAATCTGAACTGATGTATGTACGTATGCACATTCAAAGTTCCACGTTGTCATTGACTTAAAGTACGATATTTAGTTAAGAAAAAAAGAAATTTTAGCAGTGCTACAATAAATCACGTTATTTCTTATCATCTTAAAAAATTTTATCAATAGATTTCTTCATTCTCTCTGTGTGTGTATGTGTGTGTGTATATACGTGTGTTCCATTCAGTTCATTCTGTAACATCTCTCTCTGTGCTTTTTGTAAACTTTATATAAAAAGAGAAACGGAATATCTAATCAAGTTAAAATTTTTCTCTTTTTTATTACACATACCACAATTTTTATAAAAAAGAAAACGGAATTTTATTTAAAATAATTTTTTTTCTCTCCGTTTAATTAATTAATTAATTAAATAATTATGTTTATTAAATTTTTTCTAAATAAAATTAAAAATAAAAAAATTCCTTTTTTTTATTTTTTTTAATTTTAGCAATCATTATTGACTACAAATAATAATAATTATATTAATAATTTAGGTCAAGTTGCTGCACAATGGGTTAAAGATGAATCGTCAACAATGTGTACAAATTGTTGTACAGAATTTACTACATTAAATCGACGACATCATTGTCGTGCATGTGGTAAGGTAGGTAGGTGGTGATGATGGTTAGTTAGTTGGATTTCCCTTTTTTTTTGTGGTACGATACATTTGTTCTGAATATTTTTTTTTTCGGCTGTACTTTACTGTACTGTACTGTACTGATGGCGTGTGTGTTGAGTGAACCAATCCAATCAGTCAACTACAACGGAGATGTTTGTATGTACGCACTTCCGTACGTACAGTAAGTAGTTCAAGTTGTTATACTACACATTCAAATCGCATTGTGTAGTAGAGGTAGTGGAAGTAGTAGTTGTACTGGAGAATAATAGGGAATAGAAGAACTTATTCAAGGAGTATAATCTGTCTGTAGTGCCTCCACATATATTCCAGTTCGCTTACATTTTGATTTGGTTAAGCCCTACTCGATTAATTTATTTAACCAAGCCAGTTTGTATTGTACCATTCGTTCTTATTATTGTCTGCTTTGTATGAGCTCACATGACGTGTCTCACTTGTCTTTTGACCTTGTCCAACTATTCATCGCTGCTATTCATATGTGTGCATGCCCATCTCGTTGATCACATGTCTGTCTGACTATATATTCTTAGTCACGCTTGAGTTGGCTCAACAGCCTTCTCCAATTCACGTCGCTTCTTTCGTTTTATTCACTGCTTCTCCGATTCGCTTTTTGGTGTGTCCCCAATAAAGTTATTCATCACTACAAGTTCACCTTCTGATTTATAAAAACTGTCAGACGCTAATTAGTAACGAGATTGTCTAGACGAGCTGATTACCAATCTTAAGAAAACGCACTAAATCGACACACTACAAATGGTTAACCCGACATCAATAAAATCGGCCACCACAAATCAAGTGAAATGAATTTTAAAATCAGAAAGATAGATGTGATTAGAAATTCAGAAAATTAGAATTTCAAAGAACATAAAGTTTGGACCATAACCAAGTAGTCGACATCTACCAACATGGTTCAGTCCACTTGAATCAGAGAGTCCAAATTAACACCATAAGTATATATATTGCGTGCAATCTAAAGTGAACTGATAGTTAATTTGCGTGTTCATCTTAAAATTAGTAAAAATTGTCACAATATATGGTGTAGTAGCCAATCTTGGCGTGTTTTTAATCTTCGTAATTAGCTCGTCCAGACAATCGTTACTAGCTAGTGTCTGACGATTTATAAATCAGAAGCTGAACACAAATTGTTGAATACGTTTATTTGGAACACACCACAGATAGATGGACAGACAGACAGATACAACGCAGAACTTCGTACATAAGTACATCAGTTCAGGTTGCCATACAACATCATCACAGAGACACAACTGTCAGTTCAAATCCAAGAGTGATAGCAATAGTAGAAGTATTAGCAGTAATGGAGAAGATTAGGGTTTGAAGATATGATTCGAGATGTATAATTCAGTAAGATAAATTTAGAAGGAGAAAGGTAGGGATTATGAGGAATGCAGAAGCTTAGAATTTCATAGAACACAAAGAGTAAATGCACCTGCGTCATTCTAAACGATTCTGAGCCATGTCATTCAAGGTCTCTAACCAACCATTGTTGACTATCGTCTCGCGAACCCTTACAGTAAAGTGTAGAATGAATCTCTCTAGTGTATGAATCACATATTTCAAGTATATGTGGTTTATATATACGATACTACTTGGTTGGATTGTTACATGAGTAAACAGAAAATAATAATTATACATTAGTTTGTACATGTAGTGTAAATAGCGGAGACTATGCACTATTTACAGTTTGCAATGGCTCCGGTGCATTTATTCTTTGTGTTCTCTCAAATCCTGATCTTCTGGATTCTTCAACACCACCTCTAGTTTTGACTTTCTAAACTTTTCTCACTGAATCATACTTCTTGAATAATATCTTCTAATCCTAACCTCTTCGATTACTTCTAATACCTTTACTACCTCTACTACTATGTGATATGAATTGACAATTATATCTCTGTGCTGATGTGGTATGGCAACATGAACTGATGTACTTACGTACGAAGTTCTACGTTGCATCTGACTGACTGACTGTTTACTGTGGAACTGAGAGAAATCAGTATCAGTGAAAGTATACGTCAATGTGAAAATCTTTATGTCATAACTTTTATATATAATTTTCTTAAATAATATTCTTATTGAATTTCAGTTTAATCATCAAATGTTTGAACATTTTCACCCGGAAAATCTTTAAACTAGTTTCTTAGTTTGATTAGAAAACATGAATCGATCAATGTTAGATCACTCTGTATAGGACTCCTCAGCGGTGTGCACTCATTACTACTCTGTACGCAGTAATTGGACTCACTTCACGCTTGTTAGGTCATTTTTATGCAGTGCTGAGAAGTTTCCGACTAGTGTGAACTAATTGAAACCATATGGGAATAGTAATGTATTTAGGGAAGACATAGTTTGATAACAAATTGTATGCGCCTAATCTCTAGAACTCCATTTAAGAAACACGCACATTACTTACCTACTTACTTACGCCTGTTACCCCCAATGGAGCATAGGCCGCCCACCAGTTTTCTCCAACCAAGTCTGTCCTGGGCTTCCCTCTCCAGTTCTGTCCAATGTTTGTTGATTCCTCTCATATCTTTCTTTATTTCTCGGCGTAATGTGTTCATTGGCCTTCCTCTTTTCCTTTCACCTTGATGGTTCCATGTGAGGGCTTGTCTTGTGACGCCGTTCGGTGATTTTCACATTGTGTGTGTTCTATCTACTTCCACCGCTTCTTCCTGATTTTACGAGAAACAGCTGTTTTCATCTGGCATGGAACTCCGAATGCTAATGTTTACATCGGGGCATGAAGCCCAGTGCAGTGCGCTCTCTCTTTCTAAACACTCCGCGCCCACTATACACTTATCGATCGAGTCTAAATGGCTACTGTCTTGTACAACAAGATAAATGGTGAATCATTTGCATTTCGTGTTTGTTTCTTTCTGCTGATGTCATGTAGTGCAATCAACAACACTCTAACACGTTGGTATTATGTTTGAGTCGTTGTGCATAAACATCACCATACATTTGAAAGTACAAGTTTTAATAAAAGATGCAACATACATCCTTGAACATTTCATGTACACCTATATTAATGATTGTTCAGGTTGTCAGAATAGGCCTTTGGCCTCGTGACTTCTTAGTTGAACTCGATTTTCACCATAAGACATCATAACTCTTCTAAGTGAATAACTTCTGAGGGGCTCCATTGGGGGGGGGGTAGCAGGCGTAAGTTGGTCACATACGTCCTAACTTCCATTATTATTGTTGGGGATGTTAGATACTCAGAACTCGCTTAATAAATGCTTTATTTTGGATTTCACATTTGCGAGCATGGTCTGATCAGTTGACCTTCAGATTTCATTTCACACCAGGAAAATCCATGTCTGTGATTGACTGCTGTGTATTTTAGTGTACTATTTTCGTAACTGTCCCAAGGATGTTTCTATGATATATAAATAAACGAGAGTTGCATGCTTGATTGTATTGTGTGATTACTGAGTGTTTGTAGAATATACTTTCTACGCTTACTAAGGCTTCTGTTTCAAGGTAGCCTATCTGAACGCTAGTTCATTGTCTCGTTTTGCGTTTTATCGACTAAGGTGAACCCGTAATAGCTTCAAGCGTACACCTAATGACGAGTGTAACAATTATCCCTCACTATCTATCTAACTTTGTTTAAATGAATAAGTTTTATATTCAAATCTCTGTCCATCTATTTAGATTGAGAAATCAAGTATCTTGACTGATGATAACATTATTATTTACGGTAATTTATTAATAAAATGACCATTTTACATGTATATAAATATATATTCATCCACCTGACATTCAATTTAAACAATATTGTACTTGAAATGTGGAAGCACTGAAAGACGGCCGTTTCGTCCTTGTATGGGACTCCTCAGTGGCAGTGCGCATCCACGACTCCTGCACCGCGCAGGATTCGAACCCAGGACCTTCGGTATTGTGCGCGAACGCCCTAACCGTTAGACCACTGAACCGTTATCTAACGGTGTTAATGTCTAACTTGATCAAATTCACGGAGTTGTGCAACCTCATACACAGTCTTCGGTAGACACTGCCTACACCCGAACAGGTTGAACTTCATTGGTCACGTCTTCCCACTAGAACTCGGAGAAGATTCCTCACGAAGCTAGTCATTAGTGAGCACAGGTAATTTACATTACAGGGTTGTTGTGAAGATTGTTAAGTTACACATTTTTGAAACCATTAACCATAGTTGGGACTGAGCGAAAAAAGCAAAAAGATGATCAGTACAAAATAAGTGTCTAAATATGAATGACAGTCATGTAGGACTATTCGAAGATGTTATTACTGACCATAGCGATCTAGTTGAAGTCTTAAAGATCATAGAACTTATTGGTTTCCGATGTTAGTATAACATGACTCAGAATAGAAGCCAATAGTAATATTGGTGTAGTTTTCTATTGCAATCTTCATAAAAATTTAAAACGAACAATCGAAATTGATTAGGATTTACACAGCTAGTAGTTTATATCATAAGTTCTCTTTACGCAAATACTACTCTAGTTCATCCATTTATTGATTTTATAAACATTCCAACATTTTACTTCAATTCGAAATGGTTTTGATTATCTCGTTATGAATAGTTTGGCTAAAATTTGATCAGCCTTAGTTGACACAAGTGCATCTTGTGAGAATGGACTGTGTTTGGTAATGGAATTTAGGATATGTGCTTTGGCCTTCAACTCTGTGTAACTGCTTCATATAGCTAGGGGCGGCCAGACCAAAACATGGCAGAAATTCATGGAGTCATTGACAAGTGGACTTATTCATGTTGTTAGATATAGGCTACGTGGTTGGGGTCCGCGAGACGATAGTCACCAACGGTTAAGAGACCTTTAACGACATGGCTAAAAATCGTTTGGAATGGCGCAAGTGCATCTATTCCTTGAGCTCTCCCAAATCCTAATCTTCTGGATTCGTCAACACCTCTACCTTTGTCTTTCTAAATTTATCTCACTGAATTA